TTTGCAGTGGTCTGATACTCCTTTCATTTCAATATTATCGCTTGCACAGTGCTCCTTGGGATGTTTAAAGTTTGGGAAATCTTTTTGTATCCAAATCCGGCTTTAAACTTCTGCACAACAGTATCTCGGACCTGCCTGGTGTGTTCTTTGTTCTTCATGATGCTCTCTGCGCTTTAAACGGACCTCTGAGACTCTCACAGTGCAGGTGCATTTATACGGAGACTTGATTCCACACAGGTGGATTCTATTTATCATCATTAGTCATTTAGGTCAACATTGGATCATTCAGAGATCCTCACTGAACTTCTGGAGAGAGTTTGCTGCACTGAAAGTAAAGGGGCTGAATAATTTTGCACGCCCAATTTTTCAGTTTTTTATTTGTTAAAAAAGTTTGAAATATCCAATAAATTTCGTTCCACTTCATGATTGTGTCCCACTTGTTGTTGATTCTTCACAAAAAATTACAGTTTTATATCTTTATGTTTGAAGCCTTAAATGTGGCAAAAGGTCGCAAAGTTCAAGGGGGCCGAATACTTTCGCAAGGCACTGTAATTTAAACATAGATGTTCCTCAATTGTACACCTGGTTTTCATCTTGTACACGTATGTTTGTACTTATGTTTACTGCATGTCCAACTGTTTGCAGCTGTGAAGGGTTATTAAATGTGTGACAATAAAGCAGACTTCATGTTATAAAAGAGGAACAAAGTCACCATCTCAAAGTCCACCCAATGAGCAAGGCTTTGAACACAGAATATTAACTAGGCACGTTCAGCAGTTTACAGCTGTGTGTATCTGAAAAAAATAAAACAAAAACAAGAACAAAACAAAACATGAATCAGTTTTTATAGCACTGATAACTGTGTGAGCTAAACATTAAATTACTTTATCAGCTGATTTATGGTTTTAGCTTAGATATGAGAAGTCCTATAACTATATAGTTTCATATGTTAAATGAGTAGGTAGAATTAGCCTAAATACCAGCAGCTATAAATTTAATAATACATGTTATAATAAGGCCACATAAGTAAACATCACTGCAGACAGAGTCAGTTTTCTATGAGAAGCAATGTAGTTTCTCTTATCATTTCACAGTGCATTACTACCAACTGCTCTGTGGTGAGGTGCTTTCACAAAGGAAATAATGTGACAGGATATCACCTACTCTGTGCTACCAAAAAAAACTGGTTTACTCTCAGAAACATGTGGCCGTCCCTAGTAGGCTAGTGGTTAAGCTCCAGCGCTCTCGCTGCTGCAGCCTGGGTTCAAATCAAGGTTGCGTCAGGAAGGGCATCGGGTGTAAAAGACGTGCCAAATATCACCATGTGAGTCGTCAGTGTGACGACTCACTGTGGCAACTCACTGTGGCAACCCCTAAACGGGAAAAGCCGAAAGTGACTTTCACTCTCAGAAACAGTGTGAAAAGGGAAAAACCTACAAATGGGGGAAAAGGGGTCTTGTAAATGTGTGATGTTCTCAAAATAGATGAGTATTCAAAGAATGTCTCATGTTTTAACATTAAAAACAGAAGCAATAAAAAGTAGAATTACAGCACTGTGGTTGTATGCCCCTGCCAACCAGTCAAATTCACAGCTATGGAACAGATGTAAGGTTGCTGGCCTTGACCAACAAAATCTAATGAGTTCATCTTTGAACCCAAGTGGACACGTGCCTAATTTGAATAAACTCCCTTAAGGCATCCCTGACATACCGTGTTCATAAAAATGGGCTGGATGGACAGACAACACAAAAGCAAAATGGCTCTTATCCATCTGAGCAACAGAGTGTACACCTAAACCCATTTCAATGCCAAAATGGTTGATTGTTATCTACACTGATATCAAGGCCACTTATTTACAAAGCATTAGCACAAAGAGATCGCTGTATGCAAGGACAAATAGAATCACTGACAAATGACTGAGGGGTCAGTAATGGAGACCGGTTACATAGTAATATACAGTGGGTACGGAAAGTATTCAGACCCTTTGCTCAGTATTTAGTAGAAGCAGCCTTTTGAGCTAATACAGCCATGAGTCTTTTTGGGAATGATGCAACAAGTTTTTCACACCTGCATTTGGGGATCCTCTGCCATTCCTCCTTGCAGATCCTCTCCAGCTCTGTCAGGTTGGATGGTAAACGTTGGTGGACAGCCATTTTCAGGTCTCTCCAGAGATGCTCAATTGGGTTTAAGTCAGGGCTCTGGCTGGGCCATTCAAGAACAGTCACGGAGTTGTTGTGAAGCCACTCCTTCGTTATTTTAGCTGTGTGCTTAGGGTCATTGTCTTGTTGGAAGGTGAACCTT